TATGGGAGATCCAAGGTTCGAATCCCGGAAAAACAATAAATTACTAAAGGATGTTAGGAAGACTGACCGTGTAATGATTCATTGCTAACATAATTAAGACCTACTAATACTAAAAATATACTTTAGATCTAAGTTATTTAGTGTAATTTAATTATATTATAATACACAAGAGAGTTTGTATGTTGTAACATCGGCTTAATGTATTTTTAATTAGATCCCGCTATAATCCCCCGTGTTTTATGGGTAATTAATTAATAAATATCGAGAGTTTGACCTTTATAACGAAATATAAAGTGCTGTAATTAAATTAGTAAAAGATCCACTTCACTCATAATTACAAAATATCTTTTTCTTTATTTTGTAAAAACTGCTTCTAGGGCTGAGACCGACTTCTTAGGTTAGCGATTAAACGTATTACCTAGCATTACATTAAAGGTAAGAGGTTCTCGGTTCGAACCCCGGGGAAACAATGGATTGTTCCGATCCGGAGATACAGGAGTCTGATCAACTACCTGTTTGTAAAGAAAACCGACCAGTGAAATGAACACATAAGTGTCTTCACCCCATGCCCCACGAGTGTTTTTAAGTTCAAGAAGCTTTAAATTAGATACAGAAACAGACAATATCACATGCTCTAGTACTGTAAAGAAATCTTATTATCTATCTATTGATTAGTCGACACGGTAAAATATCCGTCCGCTAAAAAGAAGACGTGAGACTCCAGAATATAAATGTAAAACTGTTTACTTAATGAAAATCAGATAATGTATTTTACATCAACCTCTTTTGATTTTGAAATCCCTTTAATTAAACAATACCATCTTTCCTAGTATCTCTATAATGAAATGATATTACCTGCTATATAAGCCTGCATATACTTACTTGAGTAAGATCAGCATGAATGCATGTGATTTTTAAAATTTGTGTCTGTTTCGATAAAAATGTGTGTCGAAGTGATGATGAGATGATCTACCCCAGTTAGATCCGTAATTCCATTCCATTTAATCCTCGAACTGGTGACATTGGTTACTATATGTATACATTTTAGATTGTTATTAGACTTACTGTCAATATACTCTATGTAGTTGCGAAATGTATTACTTAAAAAAATAAATTAACCACGGCTTTACATTTGGTTTTGTTTATTTATAAGTATGTTTTAATTTTTAATATTGTACCATTACTCTACTCTTTTCTACTCTTAATCTTTAAAACTGTATAATGTTGGGATTTTGTCACTATGAAAAGTGTGAACCACTAACCAGAAAGCGTTTTGCGGGTCAAGAACGTCTCACCCATATATTGTTACCCTTAGCCCAGATATTATGCAACCAGGTGCAAAACACTACACGATTTCAAGATTTCTTCAGAGAACTCTCATAATCTACACTTAACATCATTAAAAGTTTTTAAAAATCGAATGTCAAAATAGACTTAACTAGCTGATTCACCAATCGATGTTTTGCTGTTTACAAGATATAATGTTGATCTTACAAATAATTTATAATCAATCATCCACTTAAATAACAGTACACTAACACTAACGGTTCTATTTATATCGCGTTTTAAACCGTTGAAGTGTTTTATTTAAATGTGTACTACTCGCGTAAGCTACAGACAGTAGTTTAGTATAGTTGTTGTGAGTTAATCTTAAAATACTGTCGCGGACATTTTTTTAAGTCATTAAATGATAAATAATTTTTTATACATATCTCTCCCTCTTTCTCCCCCCCCCCCCATTAATCGCAGCAGGATGTTACATAGCCTAAAGCTTTTATCGTTCAATGATCTATCCAACACACACACAGTCAAACAAACAAACTCATCCACTATAATATTAATAGAGTTTTAAAAAAATGTGCCATTTACTTGATACCCTAGAAGACACAGACTATGTTTTTATTACTAAAATCGTCATATTCCTGACCTATAATGATACTTACCTGTTTAGTTGTTAAAAGCTTCGCTTCACTTCTCCCGGGCACAATTAAATAATAATAATAAAATCAACCTAGTTTGAATTTGACCTTTTGATTAAATTAAACACTTAACGATTTAAATCAGTTAACTTCATTTTAATTTAACTACGTACCGCCATTTTGCATGCTTTGCAGAGGCATGAGGGTCTTAAATTAAGTGTATTATTTCAATGTGTAGACTATACTACTCCAGCTCGTACTAGAAGTTCTCGCGTAAACTAAAGACGGTACTGTTTTTCTAGATAAGAGGTGAAATATTCAAATTACCCGGCAACAATAAACAGTTATACACAATAACTATGTATCTAAGAGTATATGTATATTCATTTCAACTCCAGTACAAAGCTAGTAGTGGACCCCGAGGGATGCAATTAATAATTCAGATAGTTGGAATATAATAATCTGTAGCCCGTTTAATATATGCGTTCAACATATGCAATTAAAGTTTAACTAACCCGCATTAGCCTAAAGTTATTTGGCTTATGTATTACTGAACTAGTATATAATAGGTTTAAATAAAACGTACTTTAACTTATTTACAAATTGTGTTACAATGACACGACGTTTCGAATGCTTTTTAGCAGCCGTGGTCACGGAGGGAGTCATTTGTACGTAAATTAACTACATTTCGCGTTGTAAACAGTTAGTGTTTCATTTAATCATGTACTACTCGTGTTCAGACAGCACTTTACTGATATAATTTGTGATTTACACGATGTTTTTTTAAACAAGTACGAGTTACGTAAACTGCCGTGAAGTGATACCGATTTAAACCGTGAATTTCATTAAATGTATTCTCTTTGCGTACCGACCAACAGCATTTAATTTATATATTTCGCGTTTAAAACCGTTAGTGTTTTAATTGTGTATTACTTGCGAAAGCTACAAAGAATACTATTATATTTTTCAATATTTATTATTATATGATATTTTTATTGTTTCCTTTATGACAGTAATAAACATAGTCGATACTTTATAAAAACGAAAAACTCCGGAGGAAAAAACAGAAAGTGTTAATAAAAACTATTTTCAAGCTCGTGTCGCGAAACCAACAGAATAAGGGACGGTAACACACAGCTAATATTTGAATTTGTCTCCTTTTCAAACCCCTCACTTTGTTCATATTAGTGTGTCTTGGGTTCCGTAATCTCATAAGCTTTGTACGATTGTTTTCCTGCCGACGCACAGTTTTACGATTTCTAGTACAAGTAGGTAACTGATATTCCCACTGGAATTAAACAGGACTATTCTTAAGTTGTAATGGTTCTGTAAATGTATCGCAAAGTTTGTCAATCAAAACTCATCAAATATATATCCATCACATATACATTTTTTTTTTAATTTACAGATACCCACCCATAGAAAAATTTTATAAAAAAAATAAAAATGGCTGCCATTTACATCCGCCAAGATATATCCTCAAGTTTGTATCCAGAATATCGCTAGTTCGTAACCGGGCACACTGAATAACTGTATACACAGGTCTTATACAAATTCAGATTTAAGAGAGTGAACCACTCTTTTATCGTTCATTTTAACCAAGAAAATACCACTTTTTCATAAATTTTAGTGCTACCAACATTGAGAATAAATATATTATTTCTTAATCATAGAGCAGAATGGACAAGCATGAAATTCACATCATGGAAGGTGCTAGACAAATAACATGTAAAAAACAGCCATAGCGACCTTGACTTTGGATGTCAAACAAAACGCGATTAAACTTTATTTGTGAGCAATGGTTCGAAACCCGGGTAAGATTTTAATTTTCCTGCTAGCCATTTAATATCCCGTTTTCTAGTCGAAGTTCAACATCTTTCAGAAATATTATAATTTAATTAGATACACGTTGAAACGATGGACATCGAACTCACGACCGTTTGAGTGAGAATCTAGATTGCCACTATTAAGCTAACGAGTCAGATTAAATAAAAATTTGGTTAGACAAATTTAAACGTCCTATAAAGTGACCAGTTTTCGTATGTGAACTCACTTTTGGATTTGTAATAGAAGTCGAATGGAAAAGATTAAATTAAACGTAAATTAAGCTTTAAATAATAGAATATTGAAACTAAGTATTTCCAAAATGTGAACCTAATGTTTTATTTTTATGCTGAGTTGCCATATCTACACTCTGTACGTAGCATCTAGTCATGATATTATCTAGAAACACAGCTCTGTGGAAAACTGAAAATTGAAAACGTGTGTGGAATGAATTATAAATTCAAATTTCTCTGTGATAAGCATGACACTGTTGAAGAGATTCCAGTTAAATCCTTTTCTACCTAGCAAAACACATCATGTCATTGTTTTAACTGCTTTGAACTCATCGACACTTTGTATATTAGCAATGATCTCATACTGAGTTAGTTTTCATGTATACCAGTTAGGCATAGGAAGGAAAAAAAAGAAAGAATCATGTAATATTATTTTGAATTTAAATGGTTGTCATTCTATGATAGTTTAGTTTCTTTTAACTGACTGAAAAAAATAAAATAATAACCGAAATATTATAAGGCGGAGTGAGCTAATAACAAGAAACTTACGCGAAGATGAATTTGTAGTATTATTTATGTAAGAATCATGTTAACAATTTTCAGTCATTGTGCTTTTGTAGATAAACATTTCTAGACGAAAAAATATAAATAAGCCAAATTAAAAAATTGCAGTTACGCTCTGCCTCTAGCGGCCTTCTATCTAAGATAAAAGATAGATTTGGACGTTAGAAATCCATAGACTGAAACCGAACGTGATTGATTATTCTTTACGGCTTTTACATCTGTGGACGTTTAAATAAAACACTTTAACGGTTTGAAACGCGATATATTAGTTGAACCGTTAAAGTGTTTTATTTAAATGTGCCCTACTGGCGTAAACTATAGACAGTATCTGTGGACTTATCATCCTAGCCTCCAACTTTTCATAACGAAGACGGTTAAAAAAATGTATTTGATATAACAATATAAATTAATAGTATGCAACATCAACATTTGAAATAAAACATGGAACAAGGTTTTGATTTCAGTCGTCAAAAAGATTTAGCATCTGTACAATCTTGAGGAACAGGTCAATGATGCTGGTGTAAAGCATAAACGCGGCTATAGCGTAGTCGGATTCCCCAATCTCCACTGTCCGGCCTCCTAGTATGGTCTGCAGCTCTATTATTAATATCTGTGACAAAAGAGTGACTTTCAGAAACAAAGAGAGGATCAGGTTGATAATGAGCATTCAATTTCTTTATTCATTTATTTATTTATTTATTACAATTAAAGCGGCGGTATTCAAAATATGTTTTAAATAAGTTTAACTAATATATATCGCATTTTAAACTGTTAAAGTGTTTTATTTAAATGTTTACAACTCGCGTAAACTACAGACAGTATTTAAAAATACTGCAACCAAACGAACATTTTCGATACGAGTAAGTCAAATCTAGTTTGCCTTATTGTGACGCGGGACAAATATATATACTGTGTCCGTTATACTGATTAGATTTATTATATGTTTATGAGACCTCTATGCCCTACTGAATTTATTGTTTCCCTGGATTCGCACCCAGGGCCGTTCGTGCTTAACAGAATAACTTACCACAACATTTATTATAGTTCCAATAAATAATATCGCTATATGTACTGGCTTAAAGTGGATGTTCATCAACAACATTGTGATAGATATAATTGTTGCAACTGCTGCAAACGCAACGGCTATGACGACCACGTACAAATACCATTTCGTGAAATCAAACTGAAAAAAAATCGATTATTTATTGAAAAATTTACGACACGGGCAGGGCTTGAAACGGCATCGACAGCGTTCCGTGCTGTTCTAACCAATTGAGCTACCGTGTCCCATACGTCATCGTCGTATTTTTTTCAACGGATTGATACATGCATCTCTTGCGCCAAATATTAAAATATGTGTAACTGTTAATAGTAAGATTTTATATAAATATATACTTTGAATAAAAGCACTCTGTTTGTTTTTTTTTCTTGTTTCATTCAATTTTTTCGCGTTTTTGTATATTAAACAGAGAAGACCAAGCTCGGGAACCACTTGATGGATGTATTAATGTTTTAGCGAGGTAAAATTGTTAAAATGTAATTTCAGACTGAAAAACTTTCACATTCGTAATGAAACCTAAAGTATAATAATATTTCTCGACATTGACGGATTGTAATATTCCTCCCATAAAGTGTTTTATTTAAGCGCAATATATTATTTACAATTCATTTTGACTGCGGCCCGACTACGGGTAACTCCCCGTGACCACGGCTGTTGCAAAGCAACCGATACGTCAGGCCATAGTTATAGTAAATTCTAAATAAGATAAACAATATTTTTCGTTTTTTAAACCATTACTATTTTATTTAAATTTGTACTACGCGCGTAAATTACAGTATTTAACATTCCTGCAGATTTTCTAAAAACATGAGTCTTACATCTGCTGACTATGTAACCATAGTTTCAGGCTAACACTTAACAATAATTTTTACTCCTTATCGTTTATACCGAGCGACCCAGCTGAACATAATAGAGTACTTACACTTGAACAGGCCAACAGCACACAGACGAAAACAACAGCCGCCGTGGCAATGAACGCGTAAAATATCAAATTCGTTCGTATCCGACAAGTTATTGCTGCAACAAGGATACTCATTCCAATCACCTAAAAATATAATAATAAGATAAAATAGAACACTTTTATGCATTTAAATGAAACACTTTAACGGTTTAAAACGCGATATATTAGATAAACTTATTTGAAAATATTTTCTTGATTTTGATGACGGGGTACGGGGAGTCTCCTCGTAACTACGTACCACTAAGTTTGACTAATATGTATATCGCGTTTTAAACCGTTAAAGTGTTTTATTCAAATGTGTACTACTCGCGTAAATTATAGACAGTATTCACTTTTACGCAGTTCACGTGAATGCTTTAGAAATGCTATTAGCTAATGGACGGATTGTTCGATTCCCGCTAAGTCTAGGTTTTTAAGCTAATTAAGGTACATCTTTAAGAAATATACACTAATTTGTCTCGTTGGTGGTGTAGTCTTGTTAGATGTTAAGGAGCCGTGGATTTTTGAAGGGTCGCCCCCATTAACTATCTTTATTATTGTGTGTAGTTTATGTGAGTAGCAAACATTTAAGTAAAACACTTATAATGGTTTAAAACGAGAATAAAATTTAAAACTTATTTTTAATTAAATAACCATGGCTGCTTCAAAGCATCCGAAACAGCGAACCATAGTTAAAATAAATTTAACAATAGGGTTATTTGTTTCGCGTTTTAAACCGTTAAAACTGTTTTATACAAATTAACTTGTTGTTCTAAAAATATAGTGTATATCTGTCGGGATTTTTCGAGATAAAAACTATTGATATATAGACAAACAATTGTTTAGGCTTTGGGTAAAAAACTCGTCTGTTCACTAGTTGTTTCAACTAATGAAATTTACCAAACTAATTTTGACACTAAATTACAGAACACAATATCTTAACATCTGTTAGTATTTCCGTCACTCAGCTATCTCGTAGTTGCTAGAGCGTATGGTGGTTTGCAATATTTAGTTAACACTGTGTAAAGTTAGCTAAATTTCAGCGCAGAATTTTAATTAAATACGCAAATATGTTTATATTAATATGTCTGTTTATTTAAAAATGTATGGGAAAATATGTTCGCTTGACCATATATACACATTAACTAAACAACAATACAATTACATAAAATAACAATTATACAGGTAATATATGTTACCCGCTCACTTGCATACTTGGACAAGTAGTACACTAAAATTAAAACATAAATTGGACTCGTGGACTACTAGTCCACATCGCGCCGCCGCGCAATAGCTCGTGTCACTCTGTCATTGACATGGCCCCCCGCGCTCAAATAAGTCGAATATACTCGTCTCTATCGCTCTGGAGGTAGTATATTTTATCTCAATTCTCCGTTAAATTCCCGCCATATCCAACCCATTCCAGTATCCAAACTATAGAAAAAAGTTATGTAATGTTAAAACCCTCAGTCGGTGGTGAGTGTTGTGATTTTTGTTTGATTGAATGTATGTGATTAAAAGGTTACATTGTGCAAGTTACCTTATTGGAATGGCCATTAAATGTACTTTTAGGTATGCTAACTGTATATTTTATATTATTTAGTCTGTAGAACAATAAAATTAGAAAAACTAGGCGATTTTATTGTGAGAATGGGGACTGTTGCAGAAATGTTCATATTTCTCAGAAGTGGTGAATGCTACCTTTATGATTCTTACTTGTTTTAAAATAATATAACACATTTTGTTTAGTGTTACTTTTATTTTAAGACTAAAAGCTTTATTTTTGTGTATTTTTATGTATGCCGTGTCAAGTTACACCGCGCGGCGCCAGATAACGTATCGCATCAAAGTCTGTAAAAATGGAAATTTGTATGAGCGTGTAGTAAAAATTAAATTAAAATTTTAGAAAAACAAAGTATGTTTTTTTTATATCGTATTCTATTCTCTATTATTAACGCTTATCTTTTGGTAATCCACAGACTACAATTTGACCTCGTAGTAAAATCATTTACATTACGATTGTTACAAGATCCGTTTTTATTGTTTTATTCTTGAAAAGGATAACAATATATTTTCATATTAAATAGATACAAAATAGATGTATAACAAATAATATATACTAAACACAAAATCAGTGTAACTAAAAAATAAAATAACACCACTGTGCCAAATTTAACAAAAAAAGTTTACCCATTTACCGTAAGAACTAGACAAATAAAGTTGCAAGGTGGGTGCCTGGCGCATTCGCTGCAGAACATCATGTAGTTTAACATCAGCATTATCACTCTGAAATAATTTGAAACTCTCAATATTTCTTTCTCGTTCCTTTGTGTTACTTTAGAAAGAGACTTAACACACAGCTACTACTACTGATGTTAATTTATTATTGACAGAAATACTTAAATAATTTGAATTTAAATAAATAAATAGAAAAAAAAGCGATTTGAAACGCGATATATATTAGTTACTTTGGTAGGTTTTAGAAATTGCTAAATCTTCTGGTGCGGCTTGAAAAGTTACTCGGGCCGTAGTTATAGGAATATCCAAATAAGTTTAACTAATGTAAATAGCATTTTGAACCGTTAGTGTTTTATTTAAATGTGTACTACTCGTGTAAACTACAGACAGATTAATTAATAAAAATACTGTCTTTAATTGTAGGCGTTTTTTTAATATTATGTTCTGTACCTACGGTCTGATGTAATAAACAACAACGACAGTTCGCGAGATCGATGTCGGTAAAATTTTGTATGTAAATTAATACTGTGCTTCCTTCCACAGCAAAGTATTGCTATGTTGTTATTTTATTGATGCATTTTTTTTAATATTCTAAATCTATTTGATAGTAGTATGTTGGGGAATAATAATATTGGATATTTGAATTGAATTTCATACAATAAAAACGTATTAATATTTAAAAACAACGGCCGGGACTTGACGAATTGAATTAAGGACGCGGTAGCTAAAGTTGTTAGAGTGCAAAAAAAAGTATGGATGGTTCAAGTCCGTGTGTTGTATTTTTTTCAATGCCTTTTTTGATTTCGAAAAGTCGGGCAGTAGTTAGAATTAATTTTCAAACAAGTTTAACTAAAATATATCGCGTTTTAAACCGTTAAAGTGTTTTATTTAAATGTGCACTACTCGCGTAAACTACAGGCAGTATTATACGATAATATAAGAACTTTCGAATTTCATACTTACAATGATATTATCAGGAACATTAGATTGTTATTTATAAATACATCTTTGATATCCGGCCTGAAAACACATACATACGAAATGTTAATAATAATTGTCCGGAAGTTTACACAGATGCTAAATTAAATTAGCCTTTTTAGCGATCCAATCCGTTTACGATGGTTTTATTTTACATAGAGACCTACTAAATATTTAATGAGTCGTGGTAACAGGATGCGAATATTTTAGATGTCTGCATTTACAAAATTATAAGCCATATCTGTCTGAGTGTTTATTACAATTGATTGATTAATTGAGATATCCGGCGGAAACTTGAGACAGATAAGCAATTATAAATTTTCAAAAATTACGACACGGGCAGGACTTGAGCCGGCATCCACGGTGTTCCGGTCTAACCAATTCAACGTCATCCATTTTTCAGTAGTAATTTCAACCTTAACGCCCGCTTATTAACGTGGTTAGTAACTTGGACTTGCCGACTTAAGTCCAATTTACAGTATTTATAGTGCCAAACTTTTCAACATAGATGGCTTTACGTAGCCAATACTAGGGCAACGAATCCAATTGTCAGAAGCAGCATGATGAAAAGCATTATAAAGACGAACTTGACGAAGTAATTCCTGCTCTCTGGGTCGTAGTTTAAGGGCGAGTCAATCCCACCAGGTTGGCCGTAAGCTATAAAATACAAAAAATAAACCGATAATATTGAATAAAATACTTTAACGGGTCACTGGATAACACGGCAGCTGCAAATTATCCGAAACGTCGGGTCGTAGGTGAATTAAATTCCAAATTTTAACGAATATACATCGCATTAAACCGTTAGTGTTTTATTTAAATGTGTACTACTCGCGTAAACTACATATAGTGTTTATTTACCAATAATACTTTCCAAAGTAGACAAACAAATGTTAATATTTAAATAAATCATGCAGTTACACAATTCTGAAGATACACAACGAAATCTCACTCAGTCTTCAATTCTTTTTTACTTATTACAGTACACCAGTTGTACGTATTCTTTTTTTTATTATAGAGGACAGAGAAGCATCGGGTTCATTTTCTTCTTCACACCTTATAACATCTAACCATGATTCGCCGACGACCTATTTTTGCTTTAATAATCCAAGATGATTCGTGGCCCGGACGGAATTTCGATCTTCCTACCAGCCTTTAATAGATATCCGAGTCGTAGTTAAAAATTAATACATTTATAAAGTTGCCGGTCGTGAGTGTTATTATTAAGCACTAAATATTCTTCGAAAGACTTACGCGTGTGTTCTATCCACGTAGATCGATTCGCAATTGGCATCTTATGTTTCCTCTGATCTTCGTCTTTGTTAATTCCATGACTCTCGTGCCAACTAATCCCCTCCACGTAACCGACTACCTGGTCTTTCATCTCTAAGCCCTTATTCTTGGCAATAATTTTACCATCCGCCTTTTTCTCTTCCGAGTCTTTGGTGTCTTTAAATTTTTTCTCTTTCTCATTTTCATTGAATATATTTATTTTTATATCGCTATGTATCACTTCAGCGATAGCTTTATTGCTCATTCGTTAATACTTAATTTCATGGATTTAAAAATAATGTATGTAAAAGAAATAAAAACTAAAAATGTGACAATTTAAACTGCTGTTCTGCCAGATTGACAGTTGTTTAACTTTGACGTTTTGTGTAAAAAGAGAACTTTTTCATTAGTCGTGACTTAGGATTACGCGTTAGGATAAATTTTTTTTTTTTATTGTATGCAATGTAACTCCTTGAACTTGAATTTTGTATTGCAATATTAAACGTCATCAGGAGAAAATACTGTCCGTTTGTCGATCTTAGCATTGAAATATCATCCTTTAATTTAAATTTTGATCAATACATTCAAGTCCAAACTAAATTATTTCTGCAACCCTATAATTATATAAATTGTATATTTTTTGTAATACAAAATCATCCATTACATACATTAGATGAAATATAAGAATTATTATAATTCTAATAATATTATTATTACTTGTATTCAATTGAAATTTGAATTCGATCTGTGAACATTTTTAACCTCTGTTTAAATTGACAGATAACTATAATACAATAATAAGTAGTATTTATACTATTTACTGTATATTATATCTTTGTATATAGTACATTATTATTTATATAAAGGATAGACCAACAAACCAATCGGACTGTCACTGAACCACAATATCATCACGTTTCGACCTTACTTAATGATAAGTAACTTTAAGATGTAATTTTTCAGGAAGCAAAACTGAAAAGTTCCTGTCAATTCTGTTTAGTTAAATTTTTAAAATACTATAATAATAAAATAAAAACAAATAAATACGTTTATTCATCTCTTTCGCTTCTAAATATTCTCACCAAGTACAAAGGAAGATTCACTACACTTGTCAAAAGTAGCGTAAAAGTAACAGCAAAATTGTATTTACTCGTATCGATCATGCCGTAGTCAATGAGTTGGAATTCCAGAAGAAAGGCCTGGAAATAAAAATATTGTTCAAATATCAGTTTAAAACTATCGACATACATACTAATTGTACTTAATGCTTTTTTTAGTTTTTTCATCGATGATGTTTTTAGGGCTGTTCGGCCGATGTGAGCGAAAAGCCGAACAGCCAGAAAAACAAGGATAAGCTATAATGAATGGCCGTGAAAGCCTTACACAATTTATTAAGCTATCTCTTTCGCACTATCTCTTACAAAGAACAAGGATACAAATCGTCAACTACAACAGGTTTGCATCGAGTCATTCCACGTGTGTACCTAATAAATTATGTTTGTTGATTTATATTTACACCATTGAAAAATTCGATTTAATTTCAATCATGGGATCATTGTAATCATTTATAACTGGTTTCAGTGAATACTAACTCTACTGTTTTTCATTGGGTGAACTGCATTTTATCACATAGTATTAAGTTGACGAGCTATGTCATATATTATGTTTATTAAGCTTGGACAGTAAAACTTCCGTTGTGGCCAAGTTTCAAAAGGAAATTTAATGAATAATTCTTGAAATTTTTGTATTCCCTAATCTTTTTTTCTTCTAGAGATAAAAACACAAAATTTTCAACACAAGACAACAGAACATATTTTTTAGCTTACTATTAATAGATGATTTATTTCTATAGCCATGTTGACTAATGGTGTTACTAAATTATAGTAAATGACATCTGAGGCACGTTAAGAAATTGGAAATCTCTTTGAGTTTGTGGCACATGATTTTGAATTGCTATAAGCTAATATAGCTCTGTCAGCGTCCGCGTAAATTAGTTATTTTGGGCACCCAAATTTGCTTTTGCAAACCTCCTCTTCATGTTTATAAATTTAACCTATCCCGTCCCGTCGTTCTCGCAAGTTAACCTTAAAAGGTAGACATATATTGTCGGGGACCGAACCATTTTCTTAGCGTACGCAACAGAACTCGCAATGATGAATATTTGTTTTTTTTTTCACATTTCCCGCTGTTTCCTTGCTTCTTTAAGTCAGATCGTCATTTATAGCCGATAGCCTCCCTCGCTAAATGCTCTAAACAACACGAAAATAAATTTTCAAATCCAACCAGTAGTGCCTGAGAGTAACGGTCAAACAAACTCTTCAGCTTTATATAGTAGTGTAGATTATTTTTTAACTTTATCATCACCACGCATTAGTTTCACCTTGCGTGAGGACCCGGGCTATATAAAGTATGTTACAAAAAGCTTCACTCCGGAAAACGAATGATTTTCAAAGAGATGCATAATCATCGAGAAATAAACTCCCATACTTTTTAAAAACATACTTACATTTAAATACTGTCTATAGTTTACGCGAGTAGTACAAATTTAAATAAAACACTTTAACGGTTTAAAACGCGATATATTCTTACAAAGAACAAGGATTTATATTATTTTAAGTTAAAAATCATTTTCAAATAAGTTTAACTAATATATCGCGTTTTAAACCGTTAAAGTGTTTTATTTAAATACTTACATTTAAATAAAATACTTTAACGGTACACCGCGAAATATATTAGTTAAACTTGTTTGAAAATTATTTTAAATACTGCGACTGTCTCCTTGTGACCACGTTTGCTGCAAAGCATCCGATAACGACGGGCCGTAGTTTTAGTCGCGTTTTAAACCGTTAAAGTGTTTTATAGAAATGTATAGTACTCGCAGAACTGCAAACAGTATTTAACATACTTACAAATGAATGTACCAAAACGATTATGGGCAAGCAAAATTGTTCAACGGAAGTGTATTGCGGTCCTTGTTCTTTTCTCAAGACTCCACCAAGATATTCAATGTCATTGGATATTATTATGCAGAGTGCGAATGGTATAATTCCTATGGGGTACAATATGAACCACCTGACGTAATTGAACTGGAAAAAAATACATAAACCTTTATAGGTTCAGCACATAATCATAATGGTACTATAAATATATAAATTAAAAATCGATAATAAATTTAAGTACTATTGCTCTAAACAATTAAGCTACCGAGTCTAACACGTCATCGTCGAATTTAAACTTATTGATGCAACTCTCGCGCAATGAATGAATAGGTCGAAGAAATTTAAAGACAACGCGTGTAACGTGATAATCAAAATAGCCAATCAAAAGCAATAACGTTTTTGTTTTATGAAAAACTTTCAAAATATATATTATGACACGTTCCACCGACCACGTACCTGTAGGGGTCTGATCAAAGCGTTCCACTGCTCGAAAATAATAAATATAAGGAAAATTACAGTGGATTTAAAAATGGCGGCAATGCAAAATATATACGATATATACACCAATCCGAGCATCAACATCGCTCCTGACGCCATCTAGAATAAAAAGTTGAAATAATAAAAGTAAAAATAATACTTTGGGATAGGCTTGAAAAGGTCACAGTCTATATAAAATAGTCTATATAAAATATAAAAAAGACAAAAACTCTAAAAGTCTCTATTCAGAAATACACAGGTCCAACAATATAGAAAACATATGTATTCCTTTAAATAAAACACTTTAACGGTTTAAAACGCGATATATTGAATACTGTCTATAGTTTACGCGAGTAGTACACATTTAAATAAAACACTTTAACGGTTTAAAACGCGATATTTTAGTTAAACTTATTTGAAAATGATTTTTAACTTCGGCCCGACGTTTCGGATGCTTTGCAGCAGCCGTGGTCACGGGGAGACTAAAGATGGAGGATGTCTCTGACGTCAAAGTAAAAAATTGCTACGCTAGCGCCATCTGTTCCGTCGAAGTTGGTGTTTGGCGAAACTGGCCGGGTCCTTACAGAATTGACTAACGGTGTCTTCGCGTTTGCTGGTATGCTGTTTATTGGGATCCAGAGTTTTTAATATGGGATCCCAGGTGTTTGATAGTTTGAGGCCGTCCTCCCTATTGAAATTTCGGTGTTTTTTGATTTCAATTGCTTCGCGTACCAATCTTGGAAAAAATCGACTCTCCTGTGCGAGGATTTTTGTTTAGTCAAAGCGAATGTAGTGATTGGGCCCTTCTGATGAGTGTTGGCATACATCTTGTAAACAAATTTGTTTTTGCAAACCTCCTTAACTGTATAAATTAAAAAGTGTTTTAAACCGTTAAAGCGTTTTATTTAAATGTTTACTCGCGTAAACTACAGACAATATTCAGTAATACGACATCATGAATTACTTACCGCTATAATAAGTATTATATAGTTGTACGGAAACGTCTTAGTCACATCAAAAAGAAACATGAGGACAGACAAAGCTATCCATATTGCTCTAAAAAAAAAACAGCTTTTTCGAATACTATCGGTGCCACGGTGCCAGTGTTGTGACGCGGACAGAATTCCGATATTCCTACCGCCCATGTAGTATCCAAATTTTCAGAGAAAGTCCAAAGTGTTTAAAAAAATATACATACTGATTTTAATTGAACTGAAAATATATGAACTTATGGATCCGGTGGGGACCGAACCCACCACACATTGATCATTATTATCCACACATTGCTACCATTAGAGCAACTTGCCCATTGATAGTCAAATGATTTTTCAAACACAATGAGCTAACAACTCGAAAAGCCTAGTAGCAACTAGCTAGTTAAAATAAAACCTTCAAAATGCAATACATTTTTCTAATTTAACATGTAAACAGTTAAGTGTTTTATTTAAAAATACTTACAATCCAAAAAATGCATTTAGATAACGATGCGTTTTGTTTATTTCCGCGAAACGGTGGTAGTGCATTCTAGAAGATAAATTATATTAAATCAACTTTTTAAAATAGTTTTTATATTCCAAAAAGAGTTAACGCTTATATCTCAGATTATTTATTTATATATTCTTTATTGCACAAAACATAATAATATTACAAATTAAAGTTATTTACTAGAATGGCTTATAAGATTATTATAAACACAACAGATTTATAATTATTATTTCTTTGCCGGCCCCTGCTCGAACGACATACCAAGTTCGAGGTATTCCGAAGTTTTTTTTAAATAATGCTTATAATTTCCAAGCACGTGTGAGAGAAAATAGTATGTCTATAAATTAAATTTCTTACGCGCCCGTATAAATCAACCCATCCCACGAACCGACGCAAGCACAATACACTTCTGTAGCAAGCAGGAGCAAAAGAGTACCCAAGTAATAACGGTCTTCCTCCTCATCATCATCGTCATCACCGTCGTCATCACCCCCTCCACCTGCAAACAACGAAAAATCTACGGTACGGGAGAGAAACCAATTCCTGCTCTAGGCATGGAGTAATACCATCGCACATATATACATATATGTTCATCGAATTAAAGTGTTGTGTACACGAGAAGTACACTTAAAGTAAAATCCTTTTGAGGGTTTAATTGTCACGAGGACTAAAGAAAGTGGTGATATCCTTGCTATGCTAACAAATTTGACTTTAATACAAGGGCTACCCATCTTTAGACCCTCGTGACTATAGCTGCTGTAAAGCATCCAAAAATTGGGGCTATAGTTAAAGACCAATTAACCCATTCCTGGATTTACAATAGAAATGAAAAAATCGAGTTTCTGAATTCATTCATACTCAAATTTGTAAATGTTGCGATTTCGACGGGCCCGTTGGTATAACGGTAGCACTGTATGGCTAATAATAAAGTGTGGGTCGTGGGTGCGAACCAACTTTTTTCTAATCAATTTATACTCCTGGGCATCGTCTGGAAATCTGGAGGTTAAATGGGTGATAGAAACATCGAAATTCTGACCGAGTCTCGACTGCCGACCATAGATTAAAAAGCCGTCAAGGTTAATCGCGTTTCGGTGTCAGTTTGTGGATTTCCCAATATCCAAAGCTAAACTAGTTCCGACAACGCATATTGTGTAAATATTATACGGCTGAGGTATTACACCTACCATCATGTGAACCCAACGCTTATCTATCCTCCTCTATCAAAAAACATTTAATTTACGATTTGAATGAAGTAATATTTACCCACGCTAAGACAAACACGAATTGCAAAACTAATTTTAACTATGTTAGCGATATATAATCTTTTAATAATAAACATAAAAATACTGACCAAAACTAAACAGGACCCATGTTCTTTGATTTTGCCTTGCACCAACAGTTCCTAAAGCCGTAACATCGTTTCCGGGACTTTCCTTAATTTTATTAACCTGAGTTACCTCCTTATTATTAACCATTTGTAATTCCACATCGAATCGATCGTTCATAATTGAATGAAAACACTTCAAAAAATAAACCTCTAAATTCTCTACGTCACTGGTGGTTAAGTCAAAATTAAAAAAGAATAAGAGAATAAACAAAAAGAATATACTAAGTTAAGTGATTTTCATTGCGTTACTGTTACGTTACATTAATTTATAAACAACAATAATATATTTGAAAACATTAATATTTTTCACATGTTATTGCACATGAAGGCCCTATATTATTTTAAAGATCGAAAATAAATAGAAAAAAATTTCGACTCGGGCAGGAAAATTTTTTCAATTTATTTTCGATCTTTAAACAATAATATGAATATTCCGCTTTCATGACTAAATATTGTTTTTTGAGATCGAACCCAGGACTTCTCGCACTTAACGTAGCGAGGGCGAATCAGTTCAAAAATTAAACAACGGCAAAAATAACTATATCAAATAACAGATTTTTTATTTCCAATAACGATTGTTAGTGACTCCACAATTTAAAGAGTTTATTCTTCATCTTCTCTGCTCGAGCATAGTTGTAATGGAAGATTGAAAAGACTTGTATACAACAGTGTGGATGTTAGGGGGATATCGAAGTCATTGGTGTCTATTTTCTCCTTCGCGATCAGCTGCAATACTATCATGAACGCCTAAAACATTTTAATTGTTTCATTAAATATTATCACACTTAGTTGTAATGTTCACGAATTAAAATTTAAAGCCTATTTTTTATTGTATTAATATTAAAAATCTATTTTAAATTTGAAATATTTTTGACGACACGGTCGGAACTGGCATCCACAGTGTTGAGTCCTGTCGTCTGTTTTGTAACCTATTGAGACATGCACCTCTTGCGCAAATATTACATAATTGAATCATTTGTATGCTTTAAATAAGTGCTTAATAATTTTATCACTTACCAAAGCAATAACAGCAGATACCACACCTATAATTATATTCTCAACAATTGTAAACTTTCGGGGCAGCCCCCCTCAAGTAACCGGGGAATCCCGAAAGCTAAAACCCCGGTAATCAAAACACCGTACAGATATATATACCATTTCGTAAACTTGAACTGTAAAGCAAAGGTTAAGTAGGCAATCTTGAATGGTTCAAATGGAATTAATCTATACTAATATATAAAGCTGAAGAGTTTGTTTGTTTGAGCTCACTAATCTCAGGAACTGCTAAAATTCAAAAATTATTTTTATATTGATTTGATCATTTACCGAGGAAGACTATGAAATATCGGCGATGCTGAATGAGTCCTCTTTAAAGAATCTCAAAAAGTCCGCGACTTTTAGGATTAACTTGTATAGACGACGGGACGCGACTAATGTCGTGTATTATAACAGCTTGATTTTACAAAGATACAGGAAAGGATAGGATTGATACCCAAAATAACTATTCTACTCGGATAAAGTCGCTGACATAGGTAGTTCATCTCACCTCACACACAGAACACATAGCATTCCAAAGTTCGGCTACAAAGAACGCTAAGACAACTCCACCGGCTATAATAAATATGGGATAGAACATAATCGATATCTCTGCCAAGCCGAAATTCATTATGTTTATACCAGCTAGCTGTAAATGAACAATCATTATCTACAATTATAATAACGCTATTTGACGTTCATGTATGGCTAATAATCAACGTACGACCGCCAGCAGTGCCAACATTTTTCTAATAATATTAATTTTTTTCTGAAACATTTTGGACTATGTCCAGAAATCTGAATCTAAACAAACCAGATTCTGGGCATTTTGTTTGATCATATGATGATCATAAAAACAAATTTTCCAAAAAATATATAATGTAATATGTTATATGTACGTATAAATGTAATAAAATGAAAGTTAAACTAGAAGAAAAGTGCCAAAAGGATCAAGGTAAGCATAAGATTACTCGAGTAACACAGTAACAATACTATAGAACAGACGGTATTTTTGCTATAATCTTCTGTCTAACTACTGTCATTTGTTTTAATAAATTAAACCTTACTAACAGCTGACAAAAGGCTAACATAATTCATTGGTGTCCTTCTGAAAAAATCCACAAAGTGCAACAAATAATTCACGATAAGCTCCAAACCTCTGTAAAAATAGACAGATGTAAGAATAATAAATAAAAACAATATACTCGTAGTTACTACTATTATAGGCGATTTGAACGGCTGGTTCATCCTATGGTACATCTATATAGGCTACCAGGTTCGACGTGCGATATTACTCTTACCAATTCATACAGTAGCTCAATAGTTAGAACGACACGGTAGCTAAATTAGTTAGGGCAGCACAACGGAACGCTGGGTATGGTGTTTCTAATCCCGCCAGTGTCCTTTATTTTGCAATGTAAAAAGATTTTTAATAAAAAGATGCTATATTTTACTTTAGGGGAAACCTTTGTCAGTCCTCCTCTACCATAACGAACGATATCTATGCTTTTCCTGTATCACGTGTAAAATATACACAAAGATACGAAGGCTTCGAATAATGGCGAACAAGAAACAGTAATTAGAAGTTAAAACTTACAGTCCACAGCCTATAAAAATATATTTTCGCCCAGGCATCGGCTTGCTGTCGCTTGGAAGCAGTTTCTCACTAAAATAGTTACTTGACATTATCAATTTTTATATTATTTAGTAACTAACTAAGTAGGTCTATAGCTTACGCCAGTCGTAAACATTTAAATAAAACACTTTAACGGTTTAAAACGCGATATATTAGCTTAACTTATTTTTAACTTCGGCCCGACGTTTCGGATGCTTTGCAGCAGCCGTGGTCGCAGGGAGTCTCCCCGTGACTACGGCATCATCGACGGGCCAAATCATTTTCAAATAAGTTTAACTAATATATCGCGTTTTAAACCGTTAAAGTGTTTTATTGTAAAGGCTATAAATAGTTAAGAATATTTTGTCCAGTTCGTGAAAGGCACTACTATAAATCCTTTTTTTATGATAGAGGATAGGAACATGGGGTTCCTTGGATGAAAGATTAACCAGTTCTTGAATTCCATCCTCCCTGGGTCCCAACATGTTTCTGATCAATGTCAATTTTTTTTAGTTGAACTTTGTTTGAAAAATCTGGATATTAAGTGGAATATTCAAGTTCCGTCCGGATCAGGAACCACAGTCCACAGATGAAAACGCAATTAAGTTTCATTGCGTGCAATTCAGTCTGCGAAATTCCCTATGTCTATAGGCAAAAAAGGTTCGACAGCGCATCTCGTTAAGATGTTGGGGTAAGCCCCTGCTTGTATGTCCTCCTCTGTCTTAAAAAAAGGATAATTTATAGTGCCAGATACTTTTGCACAATGAAAAAAATTATATTTTATTTGACTAAAAAAGGGGATATAGTCAATTTATCTGTCCATGTTTTTTCTCGAATTTTTATAGTACCAAACTTGCTATAAAGAGTTTCTTTCTAACTAACTTTGCTTCTGCGACCGATTTGGCGTACAAATAACAGCCAATAGTGACGAAATGCAAAAGGCATGTAACGAAGAGTATAAACACGAAGTTTCGTATATCTAGGGTTTGTTGTACTCTTGGTTTTCGGCTAGATCTTTTGGTACCGCCCCCTCCACCACCCCCACCAAAACCAAAGCCACCAAATGGACCACAGCATTCTAAATGAGAAAAAAGATTGTACGTATGAGAAACAATATATAATTTCCAAATATACGTATTTTGAAATTATTTATCCAAATACTACATTAGTGCGTCTATAGTTTACGCGAGTAGTACACATTTAAATAAAACACTTTAACGGTTTAAAACACGATATTAGTTAAACTTATTTACAACTATTTAAAATAAATTTATATATGCCATCATGTGCAAAACGTATGATAAGTTTTCAAAAGTAAGCCATGTTTCTAAGTCTTAAAATAACCTTTTTATGATATACCTCTATTAAACTGAATCCAAGTATCCCCAGCTGATTGATTTGTTTTATTTAATTTCTCATTTTCCATCATATCATTGCTGGTTTCCTCATCGTTCTCCTTTATGTCATTGTACGCAGTATTTGAACTATTGATTTGTTCGGCATCGTGTTTATAATTCATGTTAGTAACGTAAATTAATATTTAAAAGGCATTTCTTGTGCTGTCACAAGCTGTAAAATATGACAAATAATTTATACCGTAAACTATAGATAATAAGTCACTGCCAAAATAATACAGATAAATTGTGTAAGGCTTTCACGGCCATCGTTCAGCATATTGTCTTTGGGGCTGTTCGGCCGACGGGAGTGGGATGATGTTCTCGACGTTTCGCCATCTGTGTGCCGAAAATTGTCTTGAACCGATATTTTTAATGTCCTTTTGCCGACGGCAAAAGTTAACTTATTGACTACAGATTCCCTTGCAACATTAATATTAATAGTATAATCTCTAAGCTGTGGACACCAAAATAGACGCCAATCACAGCCACTAGTAAAATGGGTATTATAAAGTGTACAAAAATTACACATGATTTAGTAAAAGTTTTAAACACTATAGATTCGTATAAATTAAACACTTTAACGGTTTAAATCTGATCGTATAAATTAAACACTAACGGTGACGTTTCAGATGTTTTGTTGCAGCCGTGGTCACGGGGAGACATTTTCATTTTCAAATAAGTTTAACTAATAGTAGTTAGGATTCGAGAGTTCTGGCTCACTCGTCGGGGCCCGTCGCTGGGGGACCCCCCCCTAGCTGGCTGGGGTCCTCGAATCGCGATCGCAGTGGAATCGCTGGGGGACCCCCCCCCTGGCTGGCTGGGGTCTCAAATCGCGATCGCTGTGGATTCGCTGGGGGACCCCCCCCCCCCTCTGAAAATGTAGCACGGCGCCGCCTAGCGTCTATTTGGGAAGTATTGATATCAGCGCCATCTATTGACAGTTTTCGAAAAACTATCTACCTTACCGAGCTGTGGCTCACAACTCAGGAACCCCAACTGACACGGTTATCTCCTTTTTAAAGATTTATAAACCGCATATTGCAAGGAAACAATATCGCGTTTCAGGATAATCTAAATAAAATAATTAAAGATTGTGTACACATTTATTACTTCATAATATTTTCAAAAACACCGACTTTTACTTGTATATCATTCCATTCCCGATTATGTTCATCAAAAAACATTATATAATCGTCAAGACTCTTTCCATGAACTTTAAAAAATATATAAAACAAACAGTACTCCCCACATACTGATGACCAATCGTCTTGCAAAACTCTTTTATTGTAGTTCCACATAGTACAGTTACGGTTCAGGAACAATCTGTGTGAACCTGAAGGTGCTCGGCCGAAAGAGTCAAAGTATTCACCGTGTCTGCTTTTATCTACGTGTATTGCTACCCAATGGGAACCTGGCTGTGTATCTGGGTCCAGATTGCTTATTAAATAAATAGGTAATTCCATATGAATGGGTAATCTGTTCGCGGCAAAAACATTGTTATGTAATACTGGATTTATTTTTGATAAGCAGTCCTGAAGCTGTAAGGTATTCATTTTTAAATTCCGTAGCTCTACAGTTCCGGATTGATCATAAAGTAATGGTGTGATTACGGAAATGCTATCCATTTATATAACATAAATGTAATAATAATAACACAGTTTGCAAACATCAATACTTTATTAAAAGTCTTATTATACTTAATCTAATACATTTGAGTCTTAACTGCTATAGTCTACGATTACATTACGATTTTTATCAATTTCAATTACATTATCAAACTCAGCATATACAATACAATTTATAGTTTCCGAAAGCGAGGATTCAAAACGAACTTCCAATCTCACACTACCATTTCTTATGAGGTTCCAGTGACTGGCGGAACTAGCTGATAAATCAGCAGTTAAATCAAAAGCCAGAAGACAGTAACCTTTAGAATATTGATCTCTAGATATACCATTCCCTTCGTTAAGAAAATGAATACCCGTTCCTGAGAACAGAGTATGATAAGCCGTCGTAAAAATGTTGTTCTCGAACGACGGCTGTAACGCCTTCGAAGGTATTTGCTGGCCATCCACGTATAAACAAAATGAACTGAGGTCGTAGTTTTCAAAATTAAATGGGTTCTTTGTGAGACAGCCGTTAAAAGCTGTGTTATTTACAAAACCAACTATACATCGTTTTGGTAATTGTCCCAAAAATAAAAGCAAATAAATAAGTAATTACACTTACTTGTCATTAATGTTATTTGTTTGATAAACTAACGAGACATCTTTTATTCCTTGGGATATATAAGAAGGCAGGAGCTCTTTAGAAAACAGTTGAAATATTTCGTGTGTGAATAAGGTTTCTGTTTTAAATAATTTTGGATAGGAAGAAATGGAGGTAAGTTTCACTCGTATTCCTTAAAAAGTTAATAAAGTTCTTTAATTGTTTTGCTAATATTTGAAACTAATTTTAAAGTTTTTTCTAGCCTTCTAATCTCGAAGAAAACACTTTCAAGCAATATTATTACCCCATGCTACTATCTGATGATGAAACTAGTAACGAATTAATAATCGAGAGGAAAGCTGTGAAAAGAAAATCTACCCAAGATGAAAATTTTGATGAAATTTTCAATTTTTCGAGCCCAAGTAAGAAAAAGCCAACAGAGTGTTCATCGGTTTCACGGGCTCAACCTAATGGATGTGTTGCATTTATAACAACGAATCAAAATGATATATTAACAGCCACTTACTTACTTAAAATCGAATTGTATGACTTGAAAGCAATATCAAATATACCTAAAAATCAGCAATGGAAACATGCTAAAATAAGGACTAAATATTATGCCAAAGATACAAGCTCTCATTTAAATACGGTAAAACAAGTTATATATAACATAAGTAAGGAAATATCATCGTTGGATTCTTGTAAAAAAACAGTTTTCAACAACAACTGGAATTGTTAACTGATATTGATCAAATCGCTTTTATTAAAGCGGTGATAAAATAAGAGGTGGCATATCTCAGTGCAGCAACAGATATGCTAAATCTAATAATAAATATTTAGAAAATTTTGACATGAACATTATTCATTACAGAAATTTAAAACAATATTTAAAAATGGGTATTAAACTAATCAAAATTCATAGGATATTAAAGTTTCGTCGAAGTCCCTTGAAAGTTGAAAAATACATTGATTTAAACACTAATTTAAGAAGCGTTGTGGTTTCCGATAGGTTTAGATCAATCAAACGTACCGTCTTTACTCAAAAACTAAATAAAACTTGTTTGTCTTATGATGAAATTTGTAATTTAGTAGTTGTAAGGAATTGTAAATAATAGATAAGTAATGATTGTTTGTAAATTGTTTAGACATAAATTTGTTAACGATAAAAAAATATATAGAGATCTAACAAAGAGTTTAATTTATTTCCTTTTAAACTTCTGATTAAGCATGTCGTGCAAAATGTTTCACTTTACACATCCTTTTACTGCTATAGTTGCAGGCCCGAGTGGTTGCGGTAAAACAAATTTTGTTACAAATTTTATTCAAAATATGAAACATCTTTGCAATAAAAATTTCGCCCAAATTACATGGTGCTTTGATGAAATGCAACCGATATATAACTTAGAAAATGTCAATTACTGTCAAGGTATTCCAGATTTGAACATGTTTGATGGTAGGGAGCCAAATCTAGTAATATTAGATGACCTTATGAGAGAAACTGATGGTAGGATTGTAGATATATTCACCAAAGGAAGTCATCACAGGAACTTAAGTGTTTTTTATATTACGCAAAATTTATTTCATCAAGGAAAAGGACAAAGAGATATTTCGTTGAACTCAAGTTACATCATCTATTTTAAAAATCCCAGAGATAAAACACAGATTAGGTACTTGGCACGTCAGGTATCTCCAGAAAATCCTAAGTTTATTGAAGAAGCCTACAGGGATGCCACTAAAGAAGCTTATGGGTACTTGATGATTGATTTAAAACAAAATACCGCTGATTTATGTCGAATAAAAACAAATATATTCTCTTTATCACATGAGTTTTGTCATGTGTACGTGCCAACGAAGGGGTTTAAATATGCTAAGAACCAGGAAATTCCCGTCATTTACAAATAATGCATCGAAGTTTAAGCACGCATAAAGATTTGCTCTCGGCTCTTCATAAATTAAAACCAAAGTATAGAATAGCACTTTTAAAATCCTGTGACAAAGAAGAAATAAATTGTATTTGTGAATGTATTTATAACGTGTTGCAAGGAAAAATACCCATTGAGCATAAAGATAAGAAAAAATTAAGTAAATATAAATCTGTTCTTCGTAAGATAGTTCGCAAATGCTCGGATAAAGTACGGAAAAATATCATAATTCAAAAAGGTGGTGCATTTTTACCGATAATACTTGGTTCTATTTTGAGTGCATTGCTTGGAATTATAGTAAAATAAATTACAAGATGGAACATGCTAAGAGAATGGTTCTCATTGAACCACATTTAATAGAAAAAATAAATAGTTGCAATACATCAGACAATCCAACTTCTCGATTGGATGCAGAAATGAAAAAAATATTAAGTAGCAAACTTGATGATAGAAAAAAATGTATTTTGTATTTACAAGTTCTTCAAAGATACTTACATTTTAATGAAGAAAATCGTCGCCCCATTGAAGTGCCAGTAATTTTTCAAAATGATAATATTACAAAAGTAGATATAAAGGATGAAACACAAGATCCTGCTCCAGTGTTACAAATACCGGAGAAAGAAACACAGGATACAGCACCTACAAAATATCCTATTTACAATCAAAGTCAAATTTTAAGTTTGATTCCAAAAAGTTACTGCAAAAAGGGTGAATCAATTTTAAATATATTATCACTAAGTAAGAACAAAGTGAATTGGAATGAAGATAATGGTTTAGTGATGATAGATGGAAAAACAATTCCGGGTAGTAATATTGTGGATTTAATTAATGATTTGCTAAGACCTTTGAAAAATAATAACCCGATTGGTTGGGAGGACTTTGCGACTGCTTTGAAAGACTTAAAAATTCCACTCACGTATTTGGGAAATGCACAACGCATTGATTTCATAAAAAATCTAACGTTAAAAGATTTAGACGAGTTGTCAACCGAC